TTTAACGCATAAACTTTATTTCTGCTAGTCGACACGTCGGATATACTTTGAACATAAATATAACGGATTGAACCAAGAGCTCTTCCACCACCTAATAGCAGAAGAACGGGGCGTTCGGGTCGGCGAGGTTATTCGGAGACTAGACTAGGTAGAACGACCGGTAGTGCGTATAAGCAAAGTCTAACCATCGGTAATATATATTAAGTATATCCTATCCCTTATTAAAGTATACGTCGACTTTCTGGTCGAGCCTTCGACGTAGGTAACCTAAATATAGTCGGTGACTTTTAGTAGAGTAAAAGTAGGCTTATAACGCTCGGTCGACGGCTCTTATGAATATAGTGTCCGGAACGATATAGGGCTTTGTATCCTTAAAAGGCTCTTATAGCTACTCTTCGACGGTCCGGGTAGGTAGCAGTGGGCACGTAGTATATACTATATAGCCTATCCGGCGGGCGTGCTAGGCGTTTACCGAGGCTATCACAGATTATATTCGTGGTTTCTCTATATTATTTATTAAAATACGATACGGTCTATACCCGAGTATATACCTAATTATTATATCTCTAGTATCTCTAGGCGCTATAGGGCTTCGAGTTTCGAAATAAATAAGCCGTATCACTACTGTCGGACTCTAGGCGGTGACCATAAAGTCGTGATTATACACACAAGACGATAGTGTGCATAAGGATTGGTAAATACTCAATGTGGTATCTGAATACACGGTTATGAGTCTATCGGTCGTGCGTACTAGCAGAAGTACCACGATTGTGGAAGAGTACCACCGATCTAGAAGAGAGATCAAAAGGGATGATAAAACTTGATTCAATTTAACTAGTTAACATAGCAGTATTTATATCACAAGAAACATAGTAAAAGATCACATGATAAATCAACAGAATCAGAGTGTTGAGAGTCTCTTGCTTAGGTAGGCAATCATATGCGAGATCGTTGAGGATCAATCTGTTAGATCTTTATAGAAGAAGATCTATATGTAGAGAGGGGTTATATGAGTAGGTCCTTCGTCATGTGACCCCACAACATCCATATGTTGACAGTTAGGTATCACGGGTTTAAGTAGGCCGCTCCTCAAAGCCCACTACAGCCCACCAGAGCCCACCAGAGCCCATAAGAGCACATTGATAGCCCACTAGAGCCCATAAGAGCCTATAATTAGCCCATTCCCAGCCCATTCCTATCTCCAGAATCTTCAAAATTTTCATTTCACCCTAAGAGTAAAAGCAGCCGACAATTTTCCACTTATCTTATCACCCTCTTTCGATATTAATTTATGATTAAAGAAGAGATTCATTTAATTTAGAATATAACGCTTTATGCAATAATGGTACAGATTATATATCCACGGAATCTAGAATAAGAATAGTCGCTAGTATAATTTATTCAGTGTCAAAGATACACTTCGCCAAAAATATATCTCTGGAAGTTCAGACCCCATAACTCTTGCGACTATCCAAACACCACCATAATAAGTGATAGTATTAAATTTAGGTAGTAGTTAATTTATAACGGGTTACTTCAGGTTAATCATACAAATATTAACCTACATTTCATTCATTTTAGAGAAGGAAGTCCTGTTAATAAGAGTAAGAACTAGAACGGCGAAAAACGACAGTATTTTATTCTAATGATTCAGCAGTTTTATGAACGCCAAGACCTTGATTTTATGCAAAAATGGGCTTCTATAGGCCCCCAATGGGGGCCCATCGTGGGCTGGGGGTTGGGTCTTAGGCTAGTGGTTAGGGCCCAAGCCCACCGTGGGTTGGGCCATGGGCCGGAGTCCTCGGCCCATTCGTGGGCCCTGATAAAGCCTAATTACACTATGGGGTACCTAAACCCGTCCACGGACGGGTTTGGACGGGTTTGGACATGGGCGGGTTTGGACTCTGCCGAGGTCTAGTCTTCATTCAATGCGCGTTGATAGTCATAACGAATTGATGCGCGCATACGAAGGTCAGGGCGACGGCTAATAAGATTGTCTGGTCATTTTACACCAACGGTAGGCGGAGGGTGGCTACCACGCGCGGCTAGTAGGATATTAGCCATTTCGCGTATAGTAGTCTTCCTAGGCGCTGCTCCACGCTTATCCATAGAGAATATACATTCAACAAGCGAATCCTCTTCCAATTGAGTAAGCTTACGCCCATTTGGGGGGTTTTTCGACGCGTGCTTTCACACCTTTAGCGCGATCGGCCAAGGTTGTATGGGGTATTTCGTATAGCCTCGCTGCCGCACGAATAGAATTGACACGGCCGTTTTCGATATCATTAAGGGCTAATAGGATCTTGCCCTCTTGATTGGCTAGTTTCTGCCGAGATTCAGAGCGAATTGGTGGCATGGTAGGTGGTTGAAGTAGGTAGGTAGGTAGAGGGACGCGATTTTAGATGGGGTGTACGGCTGGGTTGGGTGTACGGCTCGCTTATCCAATACGTTAACTAACTAACTAACGTAATTCCCGGCCGTGTCGGTCACCCGGCCGTCCCGGTCACCCTACCATAGTTTAGAATTTCAAAATCGATTATTTCCATCAACACTTATAGAATTTCCTATTACTAACGATTCTTACATTGATTGATCCTATGCCCAATTACCCCACACCCACTACACGTAGGAGGTGCCCTAGTACGTGGTGGATCTGCCTGAATAGGCAATTCGTCCTGTGCATGCAATACTACCCCATCATCTTCCTCTGGCTGGTTTAGCTGCTCAGCTAGCTGTATAGCCTCTTCGATGGTTAAACCCTCTGTGCAGGGTATCCTCTTAGTTGACCGATTGCGCTTTTTGATCATCTTCTCATTCGCCATGCGTAGATTCGTATTATCCTCTGCTAGTAAAGCACCGCTATGTAGCGCTAGCTGGAACCCCTTGATCATCTGGTCTAGGATCTCTTTTGATAGGCTCGGAGGGCTATTTGACCGCCGTTTTAGTAGATCTTTTAACATAGAAGCTTGCTTGAATAGCTGAGTAGCGGTTCTAGGCGTTTGTGGTGTGAATTCGCTAGATCTGCTGCTTGGCCGGCTGCTTGGTGGTGTCGGAGTTCGTAGAGAGATATTAAGCTTGTTAAGCACTCTCTCGGCATCTAATGGTACTAGACCACTAGCTGCGAAGCTGTTTTTGATGGTAGGATTGGTTGATTGGAAGGCTTCTAGCCGCGCGTGCTAGTAATCCACTAAGAAATCGTGCTTGTCGATATGGTTATATCCTCTGCGCGCAAGATCGCTAACGAACCGACCGTACGCGCGCTTTAGCACTGTAAAACACCCAACATCTAGTGGCTGTAGTAAATGCGATGAATACGCAGGCATACAAAGCGGTATAATATCGTTTTCTGCGCAGATTCGGTCGAATTAGGGTGTAAGATGGCTACCATGGCCATCAAGAATCAATAGTCGAAATCGCCCACGTACACGCGAATTCGTGTGTGGGATAAAGTGCTTTTCTAGCCAGCGTAGACCAATCTCATCGGTAGTCCAGCCATTCTTTAAGACTTCGATTCGCCAGTCTTTCGGTAGGTTTTCGTTAAACCATCCTGCGATAGCCACTTTACCTTTAAAGATTATGCATGGCGGAAGTGAATAGCTATCTGCGCAGATTACTTCGATCGTAGTGACCCATTCACGATTTCCCGGTTGTAGAAGAGATCTCCGACCGTAGTATTCAGCTCTTGTGACTACTTTCTACGAAGATATAAGGCCCATTGCAAAGCCTGTCTCATCAAAGTTGTAGATATCCTCTGGTTGTATACCGTTCTCGTCAATCACACTTTGTACGGTCGCGAACCACTGCCGAATCGATTTCGGATCTTCGTTTAGGGCTCTTTAGTAATCGTATCTTCGCGAGAAGCGTGTACGAAGCTCAGGACGGCGGTTAATAAAGGTTGATGGCCAATTCTTTCCAATAGTAGGTAGTGGCTGGTTACCACGCGTAGCCAGTAGGATATTAGCCATTTCTCCTACGGTAGCCGGTCTAGGGGATGCACCGCGCGAATCCATAGAGAGTATCCATTCAGTAAGCGAATCCTCTTCTAATTGGGTCAATTTATGGCCTGTAGGGCGAGAATCGACGCGGCAAACCACCCCTTTGGCGCGGTCGGTCAGTGTTGACCTCGGGATTTCGTATAGGATAGCCGCTGCACGAAGAGATTTGACGCGGCCATTTTTTAGATCGGAAAGGGCTAATAAGATCTTGCCCTCTTGATTGGCCAATTTATGGCTAGATTCAGTGCGAATTGGTGGCATGGTAGGTGGTTGAATTAGGTAGGTTGGTAGAAAGACGCGATTTTGGAGAGGGTGACCGGGACGGCCGGGTGACCGACACGGCCGGGAATTACGTTAACATAACTTATAGACCCGCCAGGATTAGTCATGTATTTAGCCCACTCAAATTGCCAGCTAGGGGCTTGTTAGCAATTCAGACTCATTAAGATTCCTATTGGTGCACCTACATGGCTTATTCATCTCTGTTCCAACATCAAGGCTGAGCAACCCTGCAAGACGGCTTGCCAGATCGGGTATAGCCTACCCGCCCGCCCTGGCCTTGGCATCCCCCATCAAAAGTCTCCCAGCTAAAAGACCCCCGGCCATTCTACGTGATAATCCTAAAATATTATGTGAATAGATCTAGCTATTCGATATAAAGATTTTAAAGATCCGACCAAAGAAATATCGAGATTTTGGGTACTTAGAAGGGTTGGGCAAGGATTTTATGCCCCCCCCCCCCCCCCCCCCCACCACCGGCCTAGACTTTCTTAACTCTGAGACGCCGCCTCCCCTGGGGCAGAGCCGGAATACATTTAGGGAAATATACTATGTTAGTGTGTTGAAGCTCCTTCTCATATAGGCAATTCAATCCGAGGATCAATCTTTGAGGATTAATCGTCACGTGTATAGATAAAACGTTCAGTTGCTTTCTGTCAAGTTCGACGGCTTTCGGGGCTTATGCACATTCTCATGCCGTCAGACTACCTAATCCAGCTCATGGGGCTATTGTCCCCTCGTAATCTCACACTGATGACCCCGCGGCGCAATCAAAAAAAAGTTTTCTGGTTTCATAGTCTCCCAGGTCACGCCTGGAGCAAGAGTGACGCCCCGACACTGTCTGAAGAACTCAGCAGCCGCGAGGCGGAGTTCCATGTATGCGAGGTGTATTCCTAGGCATGTTCGAGCACCAGCCCCGAATGGCGAGAATCCTGCTTGGGCTTGACTTGATACTCCCCCCTCTTCATTTCCACGGAGCCATCGAGAGGCATCAAAGGTCTCGGGATCGGGGAAAATATTCTCGTCGCGGTGGATGGTGTAGCTCTGAGTGCTGACCGTCATTCCCTCTGGGATATAATAACCTAAGAAGGTTGCGCCGCCTGCAGGAACGGATCTAGGGAGTGAGCCGGGTGCAGCTCCGTATAGTCGGAGCGTCTCCTTGATTGTAGCATTGAGGAGGGGGAGTTGCTCCAGCGTTTCATCACTATAGTCATCCGACAGAAGTTGTACTTCGTCCTCAACCTCCCTTTGTAGCCGCGGGTTGCTGAGCACAGCATAGACGAGATACGTCAACGTAACAGCGGTTGTATCCGAGCCCGCAACAATCAAATTTCCTGCCTCCGTAATTACATCTAGGTCAGTAAGCGCCCCGCCCCCCTTCTCAGACTCGCCTATGATTCCCGAGAAGATGTTCCGGGCGGAGTCGCTGGTTGCGCGACTGTGTTTGACTGCGCGCCTTCCGTACTCTGTAAGATAGTCTCCCGCCCGGAACATGACCTTGATACTGGGGATAGGCACGTGGCGGCCAATGAAGCCGAGAAGCGGGAGTTCGGCGCTGATGCCTGAGCCTTTCATGGTAGATTCGAGGACGTGGATGTATTCGTTTTTCTGTGGAATCTGTCAGTCATCTGGTATACAATATCATAAAGTGCAGAGAAGAGAGGGATGTCCTACAATCCCAACACTTAGCATATCAAAGCTCTCTCCAAACATCAGATGCCCACTAACATCTGTTGCAAGGAATGTCCACCACTTGAGCACATCACATTTCCCTTTCCCATCGTTCACTCCACTACCCCACGTCTCGTCCTTTATCTTAGTCACCGCAAGCTTCACTTTCTCTCTAACGACCCCCTCCCATTCCCGCCTAAGCTCACTCTTCGAAAATGCCCTGGCAAATAACTTTCTCCGGGCAGCATGCACCTTCGGATCTCGCATATCAAAAACTCCCGGCCGAATCCCCATCGTAAACTTACTATACCACTCACTCTTTAGGAAGAGCGAACCAGCACGATGTATTTCTTTGCATTCCAAGGGAGACGATATGGAGATTTCAGTTGGGCTGATCCGCACAATCGGGCCGTGGGCTTGGTGGAGGGCGTGGATGAAATAGATCCGGCGGCCGGTTATTATCGATAGCTTTAGAGGGAGGCGGGTTAGACTTGTGTACAGCGGGCCGGGGAGGCGCGCTAAGGGGGAGGTGATGACTTTGTAGAGGCACTGTACGAGACATCAGCTTGGTATGGCCAGTTATTCAAAGATGGAGACCGAATGGGAAGACAGACCTGGACTATCCAGAGAGCGAGAGTAATGCTCATGTATATCAAGATGCGCTCCATTGTGGCTGCCCGTGGAAGAACGATGGAATTGTGTTGAAGATGAGTTTTTTTCTTTTTCAATATCAGCGGCTGGAATAAATACTCCTCCCCCGCAGGAGGTAGAATTGGAGAAGCAAGTAGGTGAAATTGGGTCCTGCCTCGATCAACCCGAGATGTCCACATTCCCGTCCCAGGAAATAGTGGCGTTGCCCCATGATTTACCCCGTGATTTACTGGGGTTGAGAGATCTTATACGTTTACGGTTCAAGCAGCCTCAAATATGGTTCCGTGTACATATGGTCCATTGTGTAATCTGATGACGCAAACAATACCCACAGCCGACGAACAACCGTATATTCCTTACATAGCTACCTATCAATTTGGCAGGTACACAATGTCCTAAGTGTTTCGATTTGCCCTTGATGAGAACACACCACATCTCCCCCATTGAAAGCGTAAGTAAGCATGGTAGTAAATTCCACTCCCATAACTATACCTAAAACAATCTACCTAACAAAGTCTGCAGCCTTCCGTACTAGTCTACCTATGGGGCATACGTCTATCATGGCCTAGCGGTCTGGAATACATATTGGGCTTCCATAAAGAGCACGTCTATTTTAAGTCTCGGGAGGACACCAGTGGTTGAGGTCGGTGGAAATTCATTATTTGTGAGGGAATCTGACCTTATATGGGTAAGAGTTACATAGATTATGGAGTAGTAGACCAAGCTCTTCTATGAACCTAGTTAGTCACTCTTGGGCTTAAGGCCCAGGGTCATTTTGTTAAGATACCTTACAGAGCAATAGTGAGTGTACCTTACAATTGGTATGAGAGGGGAATAAAATGTAGTTTTACGTGGAGCCGAAAATGCGATTTTGTGCGGGGTAACCTCTAAATATACGGACATTCAGGCCGGGGTTCCGGGGTCCCGGGTTTCCCGGTGACCGAGCAGCAGGATTGGTGGATACCGGTATACGGAGATACTATAGGTCCGCCAGTATTAGTCATGTAATTGCCCATCCAAATTGCCAGCTAGGGGCTTCATAGTAATTCAGACTTCTCAACGATTTCAATTGGTGCACCTAATGCTTGCCCTGAAACGGAGGAACGGAGTGAAAAGGGGTTACTAACCCCACGGATGCGTGACGCCGACGTTGACACAGCAAAAGCACAGCGAGAAACACACACCCTCCTCTCCGCCAAGCCTCTCTCTAATTGGAGCTTGGTTGGATCCCAGGTCACGTTTCTTCCTTCTCGTGTTCGGTTGTCTCCGCTCTCCTGCCCTACTACTGGCTCGCGTGCTCTGCGGGGTTCATCCTTGTACCACAGTATATTTATATTATGTCGTGTTACATGGGAGGACTTGCCCTCCCACGATCTTCGCCCCCGAGCGGCAATGCACTTCTTGATCCTGTTTGCCTCTATCGCATGATTCTCTGGCTATTATTTTAAAGAGCTTTTCTCTGTCTAATTTCAGCAATCCCACCCAAATGGTTATTGATTTGGCTACCTCGATGCCTCGACCTGTCCATTCTGACCCGGTCCGTGACCTGAACAAATAGCGAAGTCAAATGTGGATATCCATAGCCTTTCCACACCCTTGTTTTTTCCTCACTTGTCATAACTACCTGCATGCCAATCAGGTACGGCGAAAGATCATATGGGTAGAAATAGAATTGTAATACCTCGTCTATGGCATTTGCAAGGGGCAGTAGTAGAAAGCTGACAGTCCCAAAGTATTAGTCAATTTTGTAGAATAACCTGGAATTTTTCCTAACCTCGTGAACAAGACAACGGCAACCCTGGCTGGTAAAGCTGGCTATTTTTGAGCTAACGCTTCAGATAGACGCCCTATAAACATTTGTCAGCCTCGCTACGATTCCAAACAGGAATGGCCGTACTCACTTGCTAATCTCCACCGCCCACAGAAGTACTGAAGCATATCCATGAGCCTTTGCTTTTCCTTAAGCAAACACATGTCACTCCCAATTTTCTCCAGCGATATCATAGCGTCCAATACCAGGAAAAGGACTGTAATGGGGAAAGGAGAAGGAAGGACTGCTGTTGACATGTTCAGATCGAGCTTGCTACTTGATATATTCATCAGCAAGCCAAGCAACTCTAAGCTGGCTTTATGTTGTTGTTCAAGGTTTTCAACAGCACTGTTTCCTGTCTTTTGCAGCTGGTGGTAAGTGTATATACACAAATTCGCCCTAACCAGCGTTAAGCTAATTAGCCACTATAAAGAGCACAAAGATTGCATACGAAGCTTACGCGAAAATTGTAGCAATGCCTTTATGCCACTGAGAGTCATCTCGGTGATCTGAAAATTCGGCCTTCAGCCCCTGGAGCTCAGCTTCCAGGGCTGCAACGTGGTCCAGTCGCCCATCAGTAGACATGCTTGACATATTAACAGCGGCGTCAACGCCGAGAATTGCTTATAGGCGGTCCAGAATATCACATCCATCCGCTTCGCACTTAAGGCTGTTCCCTGTGAACTTTTAGTCAAAAGAATTCGATGTTCATATACGAGAGTCAGACCTACAACTATTAAGGGTTTCATGATTTGAGAATAGTCGTAAATCATAGGCTCCATGATAATCCGAGAAGCAATTTTGATGTGTCTGTGAGAAACTCTGTAGAATTAGCGAAGAGTATCTTAGGAAATCTATAATACTAAATATAAGATATCACCTGTCAAGAATATGAATTCCAAAAAGTATGTTTGTCCCTTCTTCCAGACTGTTCACCATTTCTGAAGACAGATAAACATTGGATGTGGTTGAGAATAGCCCGATAGCAACTGCCATTCTAGCGCAAGTGCCAATTGTAAGATAAGCCTGGGTTTCCAAACATTGAGCATGTTCGTATAATGCAATCAATACACCTGATTGGATCAGCTCGATGGACGGTTCCTTAAACGATACAAATAAGGAGTAATTGTATTTACAAACACGGTATAAATCTGGAGGAGATGCAGCGTTAGAGGACACAAAATTACCCACCGGCTCATCTGTTAATAAAAGGATACACGAAATGAAGATTAAGAAGGGCCCATCCCGTTCGAGGCGTTCTGATTCTTGGATTCGCCACTCGAGTCTTTCTTTGGAAATAACCGGCAGATAGTCATGTATAAAGCTAAGGTATTTCTCACCCACCTCCCGCACCGAGGTGTGGCTCTCCTCAAGGACCTTAGACAGATTCATTGCTACTATAAGCTCCAAGTACGACGATTGGAGCAGGGCGGGTTTCAATTGCCAGTCTGATTAGCTTTCTTCATTGGCCCCAGTATTTGAGCGGGCGCATTAATCAGGCCCCACTGCAGGCTGCTCCCCCTCAGACGTGAACACCTACGACTCAAGCCTATCTAGCCTGTCAAAGACAGCTTGAAATATGCTAGTGGAATCTTGTGCTCCTGTTTCTGCTACATCTATGTGGGTGCAAGAGAGGCAGAGTCTAGATACAATTAGATCTATGAAAATGTCCCCTCACAAAACAAGTGGCGACAAGTGTCATACCTGGAACAGCGATTGCAGGTTGGCAAAGACTTATCGCATTTCTTTTTGCTGGATCTGCACGGCATGCACGTTCGCGGTGCAAATTGAGCGGTCATATAATCATCAATATCAGAACTGGTAGCCATAATGGCAGCATGCGATCACAAATAAAGTCTTGATAATGTGAGGGCGCGTAAGTTAGATAGCACCAGCGTTTGTTCCTTCCCTTAGTGGGAGATCACCAGTCTAAAATAATCTCGGAACGCAGTGGGGTAGGTGTGTTGGAACAGAGCTGAATAAGCCATGTAGGTGCACCAATAGTTAACTACAGGGACGGGCCTTTACTAAGCGGATTATTCACGATTCAATTAACTAGAAATCGCGGTATTTGGCCGGTTGACGGTAAAAGGATTGTGGGGATACTAGCTAGTGGGCTAGAATTCCCTGATCTTCACGCTCATGGAGAACCTCGAACATATTCACCAGAGCATATCATTTTCCTATCGGCAAGCGTGGAGAATAAGACTCCGGAATTAGTTGAAGCTCTAGAGAAGAATCAGGGAAATAAGAAAGCTTTACACTAAAGGTTCTTTAGCCACCAGACCATCCTTCATGAGTGGCATGTGATGATGGAGGCGACTTTTTCGCGAATAAGAGCCGCACAGGAGCCTGTTCGTCGCCCGATTATTGGGCGCCAGGTTAAACCGCTTAGCCAAATTTTCATGTCAAAAGTTTGCGCTGCGAATCGGTCAATTCATGCTGGGAAGCAGAAGGGGTCGCTGCAGCAGAGAGGAAGCCAGCCAATCAGTGGAAGGAAGTTCATGGCACAGATATCCCACAGAGGCCTCAGGAGTATATAGATAGATCGGTCGAATCAGCCGGGTTACCCCAAGAGCGAGGCGATCCTTTTTATTTCGGCTAGCTAGCTAATTCAATGGATTTTTTTGACGAATAGTGGAAAGGTTTTCGGGATGACGGGGAGTTAGGGCGCACCCATACGCAGAAGCGGTGCAATATTATCGAGGACACGTATATTTGGCTTTGATAGCAAAGAAGCCTACGCACGGACTACTGCCTGGGGGCTCATGCGGGTCGGCCGCGAAGTCGAGAACGGATCTGCAAGGAGTCGCTCATTGATCTCCAGGTCATTGCGTGGCCCAAGCCCGCTGGTAATTGGTAAACGCAATAAAGCAACATGACTCATGTCATCCATCTCCTTGATGCAAGTGTGTGAATCAGGGAGTTGGCTCCACGGTAAACAAAGAACGCAAAATATATATCAAATGCATGAGCAGCATCCAAGTAACCGGCCCCTTTCATAAATTACCATTTATTACGGACCCTCGCGTAGCGAGGGTCTACCACCCATACGATATTACCCACCCAAACGATATCGCGTTTTCCCATACTAAACACCCTCTTTCAACCACGCGATTTCCCACCACCAACATGCCTAATTCGAAAGAATCTAATGAATCTATCGAGTCTCGCATCCAATTGGCTATTCTTGAATTAGAGAACGTT